TTCTTGAGATGAAATAGGGACTCGGACTGAACGAGAGCGAACCCGCGAGTCACTGAAGTGGGGCCAGGGCCATTGGGATATGAACTGAAAAGGCGCAGGCTCGGGGAACAGGAACTTGAGCTTCAAGGATTTCTCCTTGATCAACGTCCCGACCCTAGATGGCACACCAGCTTCTGCGGCAGTGAAAGGTCCACCAGGATCAAGGTCTACGCTACCAAACCTGACGCGACGCACGAATGGCCCGAAGACACAGCCGTCAACGTACTCCACAAACCTCGATCTGTCAATCTCAACAGTCGAATTGGAAAACGGTTTGTCGAACTTGCCAGTGCACTTTTTGTCGGGATCGTCGTAAGTTATCGAAATATTGAAATCAGGAAGGTGGCTGGCACCGATATCCTGTGGATAGTAGTTATTAGAACTCTGCATGTGAAATGATATAGATATCAGTTTAAACACGCACCTCGACCGTGGTGGGAGTAGGTGCGGCATTCACAATTAAAGAAAGCCCGAGAATGAGGTAGGCAATTAGAGAGGGGGCATGCATCTCGTTGTGGTCTTCGTCGAGAACAAGTTGAATAGTGATAGCCGAAGCGAAGGGCCCGAGGTGAAAGCAGCTCGGGAGTGCGAGTGGAAAAACAAAACCGGCCAGCGGTTTTGTTCGTTGGAGGTCCAAGGAGAAACGAAACTTCAATTCCTTGAGGGTTTATAGCATACAGTTCATGTGTAGCGGCGGCGTCCGGTGGGTTTTTGGCAGTGCGAAAGCTGTACAGATATCGATGGCAAATCGCCTCATCTACACATGGTAGTTGCCTTGTAGATAATTAGATTGTTGTCTGGTGATCGTAAAGATCACAGCATCGGTACAAGTTGATATAGAGGTAGGGCCAGCATTTATATTTAGAGATTGTGCTTCGGTGTAGACCTGGGAACTGTTCAACGTTCAGCAGTGGAATCGATGAGCGCTCACAAAGAGCTCTGAAGACGACTCACTTACAGACGGGTCCAATTGCAAGAAACTTCAGTAGATTCTCATCGTATCGAGCGATAACATGAACAGGGAACACCGTCGGACTCAGTTCAACCAACATCCCAGTGATTCCAACATTGCCTTCAGTGTTCACCTAGGTAGATCTTTGGCCGGAGAAGTCCACCAATAAGCACATCCATTGACGTAGTGTGCTGTCTATTGCTTTCCATCGTTGCGGAAGTTCTGCGATGGGAAGAAGGCTGAAGAAGGAGCTCGTCAGAGGAAGAGAAGAGGGGTCAAGACAACACTTTCTCACGCTACAAAAAATGGACGTGCCGTAATTGGAATTCATTTTGATAGCCCAAATGGACAGTAGTACTAGGAGCTCGAGGCAGGTCTCACCGTTTAACGTTCAGCGTTCAGTAACAGTGTTCACATCGTAGTTCAAACAGCAGGAAAGAGCTACGATCAAATAGTACTAGAAATGAATGTCATAGTTAAAGCAAATCAATGTGAAACTGGTGCACCAGAAAGAGAAAGTGCAACAGGCGAAGCAAAAAAGATTCAGGAAAATCGGACACTGGGAGCAGGAGACTTGACAAACACAGCCAGATAAGACATTACGAAGTAGGCACATTCCTCGAAGCTATTGGCTCAAAAAAGGTTCATCTGGTCCATCCTGAATTTCCCAGATTTCTGAGGCCGTTTTCGAGAGATACCATTCGAGGATGATTTGGCTGGAGGATGTCTAGATCTCCTGGGAGTATAAGATCTGGTAGTTCCCATACTGGCTGGTACCAATGAATAAGAGCCCTTCAGATAGCCGTAGTATCGTACATTGTACTGTGGTGGTAGCAAAGAAGTAGGGCCTGCACGTCGAGAGCCAGTGAGCTTGGGCCAGGGCCATGGGGACAGGAACTGAATCTCAAGAGGCGGAGACTCCTTGGACCGGAGTCCGAAACTCAAGGAATGTTTCTGAATCAACCCTTCGAGGTCAGATGGCACATCAGCTTCTGCGGCAGTGCGAGGCCTATCAGGTTCTTCGTTACCGAACCTGACGCGACACACGAATGGCCCGTAGATATCGTTCCCGTCGTACCTCACAGTTTTCGATTCGCCATTCTCAACAGCCCAATCGGGAACCGGAGTGGTGCGAGTGATATCCAAGTCATCGAGCTGGCCACTGATATCCTATAGATAGTAGTAGTCATTAGAACTCTTCATGCCGAACATAGATCTGAGTCTAGAGACGCACATTCACCGTGGTGGAAGTCGGTGCGGGATGCACAATTAAAGAAAGCCCGAGAATAAGGTAGGCAATTAGAGAAGGGGCATGCATCTCGGTTTGGTCTTCGTCAAGAAGAAGTTGAAAAGAATAGATGAAGTGAAGGTTTCGAGGCAGTGGAAGCAGCTCGGGAGCACGAGTGGAAAGACAAGACCGACCAGCGGGTTTGTTCGTTGGGGGAAAACAGGACTTCACTTCCTTGAGGGTTTATAACATACATTGTTTGTGTAGCGGCGGCGTCCGGTGGATTTTTTGGCAGTGCGAAAGCTGTACAGATCATGATAGCGATGGGAAATCGCCTCATCTACACATGGTGGTTCTCTTGTAGATTGTTGTCTGGAGATTGCAGAGATCACAGTATCAATAGTAGATACACGTTGGCTCGACTAGCTACCGCGGGTCCTGGCGTTGGCATTTCGAGGTTTAGCTTTAGCTTTCGTTTCATGTACTAGACCTGTCAACTTTTTAGCAAAGAACACACTGTGAGAGCGCTCACAGTAAGATCTGAGGACGACTTACAGAAGCTCACAGACGTGTCCAGTTGCAAGAGACTTCAGTAGATTCCCATCGTATCTATCGAGCGATTTTAAGTCAGAACAGCATGAGAACAGTGAACACCGTCGGACTCAGTTCAAATCCAAGCGATTCCAAGGACATTGCCTTCACCTAGGCAGACCTTAGGAGACCTTAGGCTACCTTGGGCCAGAGATATCCACCAATGAGCACGTCTATTGATGTAGATTGCTGTCTATTGCTGTGTACGTTCTGCGATGGGAAGACATGGGAAGAAGGAGAAGAGGGGTCAAGACAAGGCTTTCTCACGCTACAAAAAATGGACCTGACGTAATTCTGGCACTCGAACACTTGAACGTGAACTTCAACTTGAACGACAAAGGTATTTGACCAGAGCATTCAGCTCAACGTTTATATTAATATCTCTCAAAGCTCTAGGACTCTTACAGAGACTGTACAATCCAGAAATCGCACACGCTCCTTGACCTACAACCATGGCGTCGCCTCCAAAATTTACGCCTGCTATTTGTACCTCTGATGCAGATCCAGCGCTATCTGGAGCAGAAACTTGGATTCCCCTCATCGAGTGTCCCGCAGACTTTCCTGAGGAGCTGGTAGGTCTCTCTTTTTGCCATCCTCGATCGATATGGACTCAAAAATTTCTCGCTCCTAGTTCGACACCGCCGTCTCACAACTCATCCATCATCCAGAGTACAACTCTACCCTGATCTTACGCTCAGAGACTATCTCCGATAGCACCAAACTTCCCGGACCCTCAACATCAATTCCAACGCTCGATAACCACCACCCGAGCCGATTCATCCACAGAAAACTCTTACCTCGAAGACCAGGTCGAGATAAAAGTTTGGAGCAGTACTGCACGTTATACAGAAGAATTTCAAGCTCTTCGCATACCGTTCTAGTCTTGACTCCAATCACATCCGAAACCGATCCGTTGCCTTATTACCACCCTCGAGTGACCCACCTCGCATTTTGGTACTTGCCACTCCACGATGATGAATCCGCCACAGGAATCCTCCGCATCGAAGTCGTCCCACTACCAGACACCCCTCTCGATCCCAACTCGAGGCTCTATCGCACTTGCTTGGCTCTGCTAGAAACTCTCCACCGTTATGGATGGGGCGCGGTGACGAATTATCAAAAACGGGTGATTCATGATGTGCTTGTCCCTCGGGAGCCGTATCAGGATCTGTATCTTGTCATGAGAGAAAGGCATAAGGGTTTGGTGGATACGTGGCAGGAGGTTACGGACCCGTTGAAGCATGTTTTTGAGGTATGTGATAAACCACGCTCAGCTACGTTTTTGTTACCGACGCAAAGGTGATTCCAGGATATCGGGATCGCTACGTACCTGATGCTTCTGTGGAAGATCACTTTCGGGAACGAAGAAGCTGAGACGGATTTTTCGAGTGGAGAGCCTTGGAGATCGTGGCCGCGTCCACCAGCGGGATTTGTCGACATTGGGTATGTGTCTCCACGAAAGGTCTGCATCCAGTACTCAAATCTGTGGGCAGTTGCGGTAACGGTCTGTTGACCCACATACTAACTGCTGAAGGCTACGAAGGTCATGGTATCGACGTCCGTGAAAGGACGTCATGGAAATCCTATCCTACAGACACCCAAAATCATCTCCACGTACACGCTTTTGACCCACTGGACTTTGACAACCAGTTTTTTCCCCAAGGTGTCTTCATCATCGCCAACCATGCAGACGAGCTTACACCTTGGACACCAGTGCTCTCCACGCTCTGCTCTGCCTCGGGCTACCTATCCATACCTTGTTGCGCGTGGGACTTTGATGCTCGATACGAACGATCCGAGAAGACACTCTTTCCCGTCCCGAACACTAGTACCCTCGACGAATTCATCAAAACTCTCAACCTCGGTGGAGACGGCAGCAACACAAGTGGATACTCGATGTACAGAATCTGGCTGGCCACTCTCAGCGCTCATACTGGATGGGAGGTCGAATGTGAGACATTGAGGATTCCTAGTACGAGAAACTGGGCGATCATAGGTCTGTGTCTCAGATGATCGGTGGGACTGGGCGCTTACTTTCCGAATATAGGTCGAAGGCATCTTCTGTCTCAGACACAGTCAATTGAGAATGCGAATGCAATCGTACGAAGAGTAAAAGACCGCGCGTTGTTCAAACCTCGAAAACCTGAAGGAAAATCTCATTAACTTCATCCTTTCCACATCGTTAAATACGTCTGCGTAACTCAGTGGTAGAGTGTGAGATTGCAACCGTTATTTGAACGCAAACAACAATCTTGAAGTCGCGTGTTCGAACCACGCCGCAGACTTTTTGGTTTTTTTTAGTCGCGCAGCGTAAGTATTGAAGGAGATATGGGCGAAATTAGCCTTCCAGATGCTAGAGCTGGCATGTGTGACGTTAGTAGTTGCTGGACCTTGACGTTGATCGAGGCAGAAACAAAATGGGAGCGCTAGCACTTGCACAAGGCTGCAGGCATCACTGCCTTTCTTCTTGAAGCAGAACTGACGGGATATTCGCAGCACAGATATCTACCACATGTTTGATATCTAATGAAAGAAAGGCACTCAATGAGGCGGGATGTTAAGCCTGAGGGTGTTATATTGGAAAGTTGTGAAGGACTCGAAGAAAAGATTCACGCACGTCGGGAACCACCGGTTTATCCTAATGTTCCTGTTAATTCTACATGCTCACACTCAAATATTTGTCACCCTCATGCTGCAAGAAGTAACGTTGATTCAGGGTGGACTGTTGTTTGATGTAGTACTTGGCGCACGATTGCTCCTAGATAACTGTTGGCCATGAGGGGTTTCTAGGCTATATGCGCAAGTATTCTACCTTGAGAATGCGCATAACATCTGAGCAATGATAATGAATGCAACGTTATCTATGAGGAACGATACCCATCGATACCTACTGAACTGAAGAGGATTATGGGACGGTAAGTAACGGGCACTCCTTTACTTGGATCTCTTCGACGGAAACTCCCACGGTACTTACTCACCACCACCATGGACTTTCCGATGCCAGACATTATACCAGAAATTAAGCTTCCTGCTGCCGGACCTTTGCCTCCTCTAAAGTTTTCAGCCAGTCCTCCTCCGAAGAGAAAGAAGGGTGAGTTCTCTCAGCTTGAAGTTCCTATGTTGGTCACTGTATCATGAACTTACCCTGCCCGTAGTGTCCAAACCGAAAGCCAGCCGAGGTACGTTCGCGTTCGAGGCTATGTTCATGAACGTGTCACTAAAAGAACGAAAACAGTCGAGTCAACCCAGCAACCATCTGTACTAGAGATGGTCTTCGATTCCGAAACGTCTGACGAGCAGCCGGCCAGCAAGCGGCCTCGTATTCTTCCAATAGATTCTCCGTTCGAACAAACTTCTGCTCAAATACCTCAAGTGACCTCGTCTGTTAGCTCTTCTATGACCGCATATACTCAATCTCAAGACACATCTGCACTTACCTTCAACGAGTATAACCAGGATACCCTCGCATCTGCTCCCACCACGGCTACGAACACCGAGAGACTTTCACCTCCTAGCTTCAACTACAACGATATTACTATTGTCGTTCCATCTCCACCCCCGGCGGCTCGCTCTGAGCACGACGACGAATCGAAACGTAAAGCATACAAGGATGCTTTTCTCGCATCTGCAGCCCTTCTGGCTAGACACAGCCGCAAGCCCTTTTACTATTATCAAGAATCCCTCGATGGCCCTCTTGAGCCTCAGGACTATTACAATCTCACTCCCATTCCCATTCCACTTGCCTCGACTATGGTCGAACCCGACGCATATAATCCAGCCTCGCGCGGGTCTGCCACCGCCGCGGCTTCCACCTCTGGAACCCAAAATCAAGTTAAAACCACCAAGAAACCGGCAAAAAAGTTCATCCCAATACCAGAGATTTCAAAGCGCAGCTCAAAGCCGCATTCCCTACTCGTGAAGACATGTTCCGATATATTGAATCGGTCAAAGATTCCGGCCGTCCCCGATGGTACCGCAGACGATGAAGAATGCGAAGAAAGGAGGAGGAGATGGAGAAGGCCGCCGCGAGTGATGTAGCGCAATCGTGGCGTTCTGGACTATGAAGCCCGGAGACTGTATAGTTCATAATCCTCTCAAGACTGTCCTGCAGCTAATTAACAGACATTATGACCTGGACTGTAATCGATAGAATCTTGTACGCAGCTGAAGAAACACGCAAATGTACACTGTAAAAGTAATCATTAATCAGCTTCGAACCCACTGCAATCCGTATCAGTTTCCTCTCGTTGACAAGTTACTATCATATTGAATCTCTCGCTGAGCACCGAAAGAGAAATATTGATTGACTCATAGTGGACTAAATCTGCTTTGCAGTCAAGATGGCGCAGAAATTTGGGATTATACGTAGGTAGAAAGACATAGACCGTCATTTAGAAATACAGGTCACTAGAAATACACTATATATGCAAGAAGATGAGAGAAAGTCTGGTAAATTCTCTAGATGCTATCCATCGTAAATTTGAATGATAATTCATTGGCGTAACTTAGAACTTCGTTGCCTACGAAAAACCGGAGCGAGATCAGTTCAAATTCTGATATTATAGAAAACGAAAACATGATACTCACCTGGCTTGGCGCAAACTTTTGTTTCCCGTTCTCGAAACGGATCCGCCTGATTGATCATTCACAGATGTCCTTAAAAGAGAATCTCAGTGAGATGACACCGAAACCACGAATGACGGGATAAATGCTTACCGTGAACGTTTTGAAGGACGCTCCGAATCCGTCTCTTCTGGAAGTGTCGGATTGGGTCGTTTCATGCCGGTGGCCTTCACAGGAATCAACGTTATGATCGATAATGATTTTGCGGCTGTCTTCAAGTATTTCGTAAAAGTGTTATGTATATTGAAATGGTGTTCGCCGATTTCGTTAGGATGCGTTTCCTCTGAATTCGTGTATGCGGTGATCAGGTCTGAGGCAAGAGGGACAAGGAGATCGAGGGCCGGATAGAGTGTCGGAGAAAGCCATTTCTTTAGAGCTTTGACGTATCCAATGCTCAGTTCTTTCAAAAAGGTTGGCGATCAGTAATGTCTAGCTGTCCATGGAAAAGCTTCTCCATTTGCTCTTGGCGGATGTCTGGTTCCAGTGAGTGGAAAGACTCGTCGTCATTGAAGAAAAGGACATAGACAATGATCCACCAGATCGACTCCAGATCATGTAACGGATTGTAGGAGAATGGATATTCGGATTCGGCCACCGGGATAGGAGCGACATCTTCTTCCTCTTCTGCAGGATTGAGAGGATCCAGGAGTGATTTTGGGGGGCTTTTTTGTTATTATCCGGTAGGTACAAGTAAACATTCCGCATGGTCTCAGCAGCCATAAAGAAAGGTGTGCCCTGATGAGACAGTGTTGAGCTACATGTATAAGAAAGAAGAGAAGGATACAGATACATACAGTTCGGACATCATGGTGCCTTTCCTCGCTCCTCTTAACAGCATATTCGAAATCGCCCAAGAGACCCGTTTTTGCATGCGCGAACCAGTATACATTGCCGCCGCTAATATCACGGTGCACCCATCCAGCAAGATAGATGATCCAAAGAGCTATGCAACGGAAATGAGCTTCCCGACAGAATGTCTAAGTCATAAATCCGCTTACCTCTGGTAACGTCCAGCAATGCACGGAGTACATTTCCCAGATTTCGCTCGTCATAAATCGTGGTCGCGCATTGTTCGAACACAATCCGGTAGTGATACCTGTGATGACCGGCATAGGTACTAGCGGCTTTCCGTTGAGCTACATTGGTGGCAGCAGTCTGATTGACTTGTGCAAGCGTGACTTGAGGGGAGGAGACAGAAGGATCGAGATGTTCAGATCTCGTGTTGGGTCCCTCAGCAAGGCGACTGTTAGAAGAAGGGATATAATCCCTATCACCGGGCATACTATAAGTGATACTTGGTGGTGGGGCCGGAGTCGAAGTTTTGTCGGGAAGGAGTTTGACGGGTTTAGCACTGCCCAAGTCGTAACCACGGAGCATAATCGCGCCAGTATCGTCCGGTGGACCTTTGACCGGTTCGCCTTCGACTGTGTTGTTGTCGACCAACACTCTGCAATGCGCCATCGGTTTGAGCATACGTTTCTCTAACTCTGCACGATAATCGTACTCGTGCTCCGACTTGATTGATTTCGCAGCGTCAAGGATATCCTGCAAAATCACATGCTCCTCCTTGCGATCAGTCTCCAGCCAAACATCCTTGAGAACGCGTGGATGACCCGCAGAGTCTGTCACCTGCCAGACTCTCGTAGCGCGACCGAGCGGACTGTCAGCCGAAGCGTCAGATAAGACCTTCGTTGTGGTGAATTGATGACCATCGACGTCGATGGTATACTGTCTCCTGGAGCATGAGTCGACGTGTGAGAATGTCATCGTGGTATCCCAGCCCAAGTCACGAAGGGAGGAGAATGCGAGCGATAGAATGAGGTGAACCAATTCCCGACGATCCTATGAATACGTAGTGTCAGTTTAGCTGAGGTGCGAAGAACCAGCATGTGTGAACGTACCGTCATGAAATCAAAACTTGTACTTCTCAGGAGAGACGCACGACTGAGGAACCACAATCGTGTCGTCCGGTTCTCAATCGTGGTCCCGAACGTGAAGCGCCTGCAAGGATCTCGAGCAAGCACCTGCTCCATGTCATATACAACCTTGCTGAAGTCCTATTCGTTGATTAGATCAAAGTGTACACCCGCAAATGGGGACCGCACTCACCTCGATAATCTGATTTACACCATCGCCCTTCTTGAATTGGTGGGGATTTGCGATGTCGTACACATAATATCGGTCTTCAGGCGCTTTTCTTCGTTTCGCGTTGCTAGTATCGCTATTCGTAGTCGGCTGGGTCTTTGAACACAACTCGTTGAACGCATCTGGCTGACATAGCTGAACTTGATCTGAGTGTATGTAAGCATGACCGTTGACCACAAGTCCAAGGGTCTGTTCGAGCGAGCCGTCGACCTTTTTCGCAGCAGAAATGACGTCGTTCCAGATGTCAGTAAGACCTTGAAAGGCCTGCGGTTCTTTTTCACTGTGCTTGCACGGATCCACACGAAAGGCCGCCCAACGATCATTTTTTATAGTCTTATTTTCCTCTAATCTAGCTATGACCTCCCCAACGAGATCATTCTTGGACGAGCGCGGGAGGGGTGGCAGGATAGAGTGGAAAAAATCTTCTACAGGGACTTCGGGTATCATCTTTGGCACGTCCAACTTGACGATGACTTGGCGTTTCTCTTCAACACCGGGGGCGTTACGGAAATCGGAT